TTGTAGTTCGGATATAACTACTATATGCAAACCACGTCACCACACACCTTTACAGGAAGAAGAGGTTCATGTCTTCACTCCAAATCAGCTGTTTACCCATCTCACAAGAAATGTATCATGAGGTAACTTTATTCACCGGAGTAGAATTAGGGGAAGGGCTTTATATTTTATAGTAGCTGTGAAGCTTTGAAACCCTTTCCTAAACTTTTTTCTAATTGTGGCATAGCTAATTCAACTGTTTAGACTTTATTGTCCGAAAGAATAATGTTTGATGGCTTGGAGGTTCACATTTCTCATTTGTATTTTTAAGATGATTTTTTTTGTGGTAAAAAGAAATATTCCATTATGTTTCAGAGCTTTGATAATTACTTAGATGTCTGAGCGTTAAATCTTGTACCTTTCTGCTTTTAAAGATATTTGTAAATGAGAAAGAATCATGATAAAATGGATTTTGTAGGATAAATATAGTTTAACTTGCTATAATCAGTTTTCTGCATTTTTCTTGTTAACATTAACGTAAAGTTTATTGATTACCATTACAAAATTGTGACTTTTGTATATAAGGAACATTTAAGAAAGATTCACAATTCGTTCCTTTTTTTCCATAGGAAATGGCTCAGTTTGCAAACCAAAGATCCAGCTGATCATCCAATGGTCACACGCGTACGCAGAGTGGGTACCGGCTATTGCAAGCCACCAAACAAGATTCCTTCAGCTTCTATACTAAGTGTGGCTGTTTACAGTTATTGATGATCCTACAGAGAATTCTTTTAGTTTTGCCTGTAAGCTACAAACTATTGATGTAACTGATAGCATATATCTTTCTTTCTTTTTATATTTTTTTCTTTCTTTCATTTCTTATTTTCTTCCTCCTCCTCCTCGTTTTCCTCCTTCTCCTCCTCCTCTTCATTTTCCTCCTCCTTCTCCTTTTCCTCCTCCTCCTCCTCCTCCTCCTCCTCCTCCTCCTCCTCCTCGCCCCCCCTCTGCATTCTTCTCTTCCTTCCTCCTCTTCTCCTCTTCCTCCTCTTCCTCCTCCTCTTCTTCCTCCTTCTCCTCTCCTCTCTTCCTTCTTCCCTTTTTCCTCCTTCTCCTACTTCTCCTCCTCCTCCTCCTCCTCTCACTCCTCCCTCCTCCCCCCCCCTCTGCTTCTTCTCTTCCTCCTCTCCGTCTTCTCCTGCTCCTTCTCCTCCTCCTCCTCCTGCCTCCTCCTCCTCCTCCTCCTCCTCCTCCTTCTCCGCCTTCTCCTCCTTCTCCTCCTTCTCCTTCTCCTACTCTCTCTCCTTCTCCTACTCCTCTCTCCTCCTCCTCCTCCTATCCTCCTCCTCCTCTCCTCTTCCTCCTCCTTTTCTCCTTCTCCTCCTCCTCTCCTCCTCCTCCTTCTCCTCCTCTTCCTCCTCTTCCTCCTCCTCTCCTCTCCTCCCCCTCATCAATCATCATCATCATCCTCTTCTCCTCCTCCTCCTCCTCCTTCTCCTTCTCCTCCTCCTCCTCCTACTCCTTTAAAATATGATTCAATCATCACCTTCTCCTCTTTCCTTCCTCTCCCTCCCCTCTTTTTCCCCCTTCCTTTCCTCCTCCTCCTCCTTTATCTCCTTCTCCTCCTCCTTCTCCTTCTTCTCTCTCTCCTCCTCCTCCATCCTCCTCCTCCTCCTCCTCCTTCCTGCTTCTTCTTCCACTTCCTCTCCTCCTCCTCTCCCCCTCCTCCTCCTCCTCCTCCTCCTCCTCCCCCCCTCTCACCTCCTCTCCTCTCCTCCCCCTCTCCCTCCTCCTCTCCTCCTCTCCTCCTCCTCCTCCTCCTCCTCCTCCTCCTCTTCTGCTTCTTCTTCACTTCCTCCTTCTCCTCCTCCTCCTCCCTCCTCCTTAAATATGATCCATCAATAACGTTCTTTTCTGACCATTTTGTGTGGCAGGAATTTTCATGTCTAATAATATTTTTTTAAAATTTTGCCTCCTTCCATAGTGGTGACATCCATTATGTTCCGAGGATGATGAACCTTATTTTGAGAATGATACCAATTAGCTATGATTCTTGCACATGAGATGATCATGCCTATAACTTGACATGCTGTGAAGTGTCTAGTGATATTTGTCTTTTGTGCATTGGATCCATTTTAAAACTTGGATTTTTCCTTGGATAGTACACTCTACACTGCAGAATAAACACTATATTAAAAATAGATTTTAGTTTTTTTCTTCTGTCTTTGTATTAACACAGTAGTATTTTGTCATTCATAACAACACTATAACTTATACATATTTTGCATTCGGCTGACGAGCTGAGTCAATGATATCTTCTGGCACCCTCATTCTGTTGCCTTTGGCCAGTCATTTGGGCTTTTTTACCAAGTGATGGTATTGGCCTGTTTGTTACTCACTGTTCCTTCTTAAAGTTGTTGAAGTGCTTTCTGAAGTTGCCTTAACTCAGAAGTATAGAAGATGAAGCGATCTGTTGGTTGCAATTAGCTTGCAAAGGTGAGGCTGCAGTTTTCTCCTCTGTTTCCTCCTCCTCCTCGCTCTTCCTCTTCTTCTCCATTTCCTTTTACCCATTCTCTTTCTCCTCGTTCTCATTTTCATTCATATTCTCCTCATCCTTTTTCCCTTTTCTTTTCTTGTCTTGTATCATTTGTCTCGATTCCTCTTTTCCTATTCTTATCTCTCTTTCCTCTGTTTTCTTTTTCTTCTATTTTTCTCTCCTTTATTTTTCTTTTACTTTTTTTTTCTTATATTTTTCTTGTTTTTTCTCTTTCTTCTTCCTAATTTTTCTCATGCTAGTTTCTTTTTTTTCTTTCTTTCTTCTTTTCTCATCTTGTTCTTCTTTCTCTTCTCTTCTTTTCCTTCTTTTATGGTTTTCATTGTTTCCTTATTGACTTGTTTGTTCTTTGTTTTCTTTATTCCTAGAATTAGATATTTATACCTCTTCACATGTGCAGTTTTGCTAACAGTGAGTAAAATATCCATTATAGAAATTGCTTATATATATAATATATATTATACGATATCTATATATATATATATATAATATATATATATATTTTATAATATATATATATATTTCTTCTCTAAAAGTATATATGTTTCAGGCTTGCTATGATGTTCGAGAAGCAAGTGCATTTTTGGGTAAATGTGTTTTACAAGAGAAATACTAAGCAGGTAGGCATGGAAACAGATTCTGTCCAGCATTTTGTCAACCCATCCATCAAAACAGCAGTCGACAAAGCGAGGATAGATGAGCAAATGCCAGATCTCTAAAATTGCGTGAAGTTTGTCAGGTAAGTCTTTGACACAGCTAAGTTATCACAATTAAAAGCAAACCCCCTACTTACTGCTGATGTATTTCTTTTATACTTAATTGAAGAATAAAAAGTATACTCAACCTTATTTTTTCCTCTGTTACAGGTGCTCAAAGCTTACAGACAAGATCCAAACTTGAGAAAAGAAAGTTCAGGATAATGAGACAAACATCGTCTTGTGACTTGTCTCCATAAAATTAAAGCTAGTATTATTCATCATGTGATTGCACTCGGGAATGAATCTAATTTCCCCCCCCTTTTTCCTATTTGTTGAAAATTGAAACTAAAATTTAGCAACAGAATTTTAAATGTAAAATATAGTTGATGTGAAAGTCTGTTTTAATTCACCTCCCATAACGTGTTTAATTAATTATTGAGTTCCAAATATTCCCTACAGAGAAGGAAACATTTTTCTAGAATTTTATTTATATCAGATAGTTTTTATATATACTGAAACCAAGTGACATGTGTCTATCTGATGAGATGGCCAGAAAATTAACAGAGCCAGCTTCTTCCATATGTGAGACATGTTTTCACTATTCTTTCTTGTTTTTGTGGGCAAGTCAAATGAAGAAACAGATGGTTGACAATGGCAGCAGTACAACCCTCTCATGTCCCTGCATCGCAATCACTAGAAATCACAAAATGATTATCAATATATTACAGATTTGATTTTACTGTCTGGTAAATTCTAGTAAAATAATTGATTAAATTTGCTTTCCTCATTTCTCTATAAGGCTTTATGATAACGTTCTGCTTGATCTGGCTTATCACACTACCAAAGAAGCCGTTGAGTTTACTATCACGGCTGAACAAATGTAGATAAAGGCAGGTATAGGAACATCCCGTCATGAAAAAATTGCCCGAAGGTGGCTGACGGAATTCCTGTCTTGGGAAACCACTGTAGGAGGTGTTTTTTTTCATAGAGAGAGAGCACAGACAGAATAGACAGAATGGGGAAGTTGGGAGGGGATCGGGAAAGGTGTAAGGGGGATGGGTGGAGTAGGGGGAAGGGAAGGGGGAGAGTGAAGTTGGAGGAGATAGAGGAAGGTATCAGGGGGGATGGGGAAGGTGGGAGGGGGAGGGGGAGGGAGATGATGAAGTGAGAGGAGAATGGGGATGGAGGTAAGTAGGATGAGGGGGATGGGGAAGGTGGAGATGGTGGGTGGGGAACGTGGGAATTGATGGACAATGGATTATCGGGTATTGCGTAGTCATATGTTTTTCAAAGAATTAGGATGCTTTATTGCTGCGGCAATGGTGGGATCGTAGAGACCGTGAAAAAATATCTAATATATATATATATATATATAATATATATATATATATATATATAGATATATATATATATCTATATATATAGTATATTGAAGTTCAACACTTGTCCTGTAGCAATCCTCCTCTGTTGCCCCCCTAGACGATCTTCGGCCTTCCACTTCGGTAAGTTACCTTCAGATTCATTTGTTTTATAATGTTTTTTTTCACAGACTCGGATATGATTACGTGTCACATGACACCAATCTGACTCCGATGAGCCCTGTCCTGCATTCCGCTCAGCGGTTATGCACCGACTCTGCGAAGAGTTCGGTCCCTGGGTTAATGTTTCCGGACTGGACGCTCTTCTTCCTCGTCCGCGAAAATCTTTCACTGCTTCGGCCCTGCCCCGGATGACGTCATCGTCCGGGCACAACGGTAACATTTTTCTTACAT